TCCGCGCCCATTTTTCCGCCCGACACGTGGTCCGCGCCCATTTTTCCGCCCCTGACACGTGGTCCGCTGCCATTTTTCTGCCCCGACACGTGGTCATAGGGAGAGGGACTCTCCCTCCAAGCAATAGCCGCCTCTCTATCCTCCACGCCAGAACGTATTAACGGTAATTACATCGAACCTTATGGGGAAATTTGCTTCGGGTTGCGACCAATTCAGGGTGCGACCAGAGTCACGGAACGAATTAAGTTCGTAAACCGAGGTTCCACTGTTCTGGGTTTTTTTTTTTTTAATTTCCAGAAATGCTCAAATTCACTTTCTGTCATTAAGCTTGTTTTTACCCAGAGAAGACAACAGCTTCAGACATAAAATAAATTTAGTGAATTTTCCAAAGGAAAACATTAAATTCAACTATTGGGTGACTTATGGTTCTCACATGTTAGAATTATGGATGAATTTCCCAATGTTATTTTTGAAACGTTTTTTCAATTTGCTTTGAATACAGTTTCTGATTGTTCAGCATTCAGAAACAAAGACTTAAAATTTAAAATAAACTATTCAGTTTGGGGAGCTTTTATGCTTTTAATATTGAGATATCTTTTTTAGCCTCAATGAATCAAAGGTTTGGATAATCTGAGACAGAATAAAATGTTCTCTCACCAAAATTTCCCAGGCTGTTCTCTCTGGTGTTTACACGCATCTCAAGGGCCTTCACTTGCCGCAGATCATCTAGCCCTGTCAATGCTTTCTGCAACAATAAACAAAAAGATAAATATATATTATGGGTCCACTATCACATCACTTCAAGAAACAACTCTTATCCTACAAATTCATCCTTAAAAACAGGGCTCTCAGAAAGTTAAACAACTTATTTTAAATTCTAGTTCCTGCATTAACTTTTAATACAAACAAGAAGGTAAATCTGGTTATGTAATAATACCAAAGAGATTTTTTAAAGAAAACAAATGCTCTGTAGTCATGTTCCTTAGGTAAAGGCTAGACTTCCTAGCAATGACAGAATTTAAAAATACAGAATAAAATTAACGAAACATGTACAAAATTATTTAAAATTAAAAGCCTGGCAAAGAAGATGCATCTTTATGAATTTTCTAAATATTGAAAGAGTGTGGGCCAAATGTAATATGAGCCAAAGGAGTGCATTCTATAGCCTGAGAGCAATGCAGAAAGACTTTAACAGAAAGACATAAATATTTATAGTTTTGCTTACTTAGATTGTTTTAGAATTGTAATTCAATCCCATCATACTGAAAATTTAAGGAGCCTTCTCCAACATGGTGCTCTCCCAGTGTTTTAAACTATAAAACAAATAAGCACGAGTTGGAACAGCAATTGATAATATTTTCTGATCCCTTCTCAAGAATAGAGAAGTGAACATACCACAGAAAATTAGTACCAGCAATGTGGCTTGTCTCAATTTCATCAAATTGAGATTATTCCTGAATTATCAGTGGTTTTGCTATTTCACCTGTACACACCCTGTTCCATGGTTAATCCAATAGTGAGAAAGCTAAACTTGATTTGATCAGACTTGAGAAAGTGTTCTTAAGAAAGAACAGGCAATAACATATATTTACCAAGTGACTTTTAAAGAAATAAAAGCTACCTCTTTAATTATAATTGCTGCTGATATAAGGCAAAAAATAATATTAAAGCAAGTTGGATGGAGAAAGAAATATTCAGCTCTTTCTTTCCCAAGTTGTTTATGTGCATAAATAAAAGGAATATTTATCCACATATAAACACACTTTGCTAAAGAGCAAACTATATACGTGGAACATACAAAGAATTCATATTACTGATTCTTTAGAATTTTATGAATTCACCAACTATTTAGCAACAGCTTTTTTAAAAAAGTTAATTAATATTGCTTTATCTCCAAGTAGATGCTGGACCTTGTAGCAGAGTTTTCAAGTTTTTGAATTGCTAATTCATTTTCTAGCCAGATATGCAGGGTATAAAATATTCTACTTCAGGAAGGTTTGGCAGTTTCAAGTTGTATGGTATTTACCTTTCAGGTGATTGTTCTAAAAAATGTTAAGAAGTTAAGTGTACATTACAATTGCATTATACTTTTATTGCCTGTTGCTCAACATTTCCAACATCCCAATAAAAATTTTTCTCCACATGTTAATGATTTAATTTTCTTTAAATGCAATGTTCAGACCTCATAAAATATGCTAGATTTAATTTTTTCTTTATATCAAATAATGTAGACTGTGGATATTGTGGATATAATTTTTTCTTTATATCAAATAATGTAGACTGTGGATATTGGGATGAACATGCTAATTTGTATCATACATATTTGCATAGGATTTTTTTCTGGAAAACTCACATCTCGGTTTCTAGTAGTTGCTTACACACTCTGTCCAAATACTTACATAACTAAATAAGTAATTAATCTACCCCAAATCATTCATATGCAACACGTCAGTAAACAATTTTTATATATCTGCATTAAGAGCATAATAAGTATATTTACTGAAAAGTAAGTCCTACTGTAACTCTGTTTTGCACTGTTGTCTAAACCAGTTTTCATCATGTCAAGCCATGATATAAAGACAACCTTCTAGTACATATAGGCAGTCCCTGGAAATTGGCAGAAAAGAGATTATACTAGTACATGGATAAGGCAATAATAAGACAATCTACAATGTCTATTTTTGCTGTTCCTCAGGCAAACATTTTGTCCAGTTTAAACTTAGTTATGTATCATACACTAAGAAGTGTGGTATCTCGGCATTAGATGTCATAGACGTTTAATGCAAGATATGTTCAGAGTTTTAGTAGTACTGTAGCCACGAAAAATATCCAATGCAAACCATCAAGGAAGAAAACATCAACGTTCAAGATTTACAAGCCTGGGATAGAAAATAATTGAAAATTAGGGTTGTACTCCCCCAGGTGGAACTGATGCATAATTTGGGGTCTTCATCAATTCTCGACTCCCTGTGGCCAGGAGGGCCTTTGCACATAGCCAACTTGTGGGACAATTACCACCTCTCTTGGATCAGGAGAGCTTTCTCATGATCACTTATTCTTCAGCCACCTCCTGTTTTGACTTGCAATGTGCTCCATGACGGTCTACCCTTGAAGACCATTGAGAAATAGAGCTGGTCCAGAATGTGGAAGCATCAGTAGTTATGGACCCTTACTTTGCTCATGTAACACCTCTATTTTGGGAGTTGCACTGGTTATTATTGGGCTTTTGGATGCAATATAAGATGCTGATTATCACCTATAAAGCCCTTTATAGCTTAGGATCTAGATATCGATGGGACTACCTCTCTCTTGTTCTTTCTATCTGGCACTGTTGGCTTCCTCCAGATCTCATCTGTAAAGCAATGCCTTCTTGCAGGTTATAGGAAACAAACCTTCTCTGTGGCTATATCTGCCCCATGGAATAGCATTCCTCTAGAACTCTGTATTTTTGCAAATCTTTAAAGATTTAGCTTTTTCAACAGGCTTTGGGGAGCAGGGTTGATTATGATCTACTTCTTACTATTAGATTGAAGTTGTGTGTAACTGTTGTTCAGCTTTGTTTTGTTCTTCCCCAATGTGCTATTAGTTTTCATTGTTTATTCTTATGTTTTAATCCTAATTACATAAGCCGCCTAGAGTTTCCTTTGTGTCTAAGGTGGCATACAAATTGATTAAATAATTACACAAATAAATACATACAATCTCAGCAGATTCAGGCATTTTAGATGTAATTATCTCACATGGAATTGGTGAGTGGGTGGGGGAATATCCAGACAGTGTTGTCTACTAACCTTTTCAAAATGAAGCAGGACAAGCATATAATGCTTTTTGATCATTAGTATATTTTACCTAGAGAGCATCCTATCAAGGATTCATAGTCAGTTAGCGTATGCAGAGAATGCCACAACTCCTAAAATAAAATCTAGTTTTAGAGGCCAGTACCCTCCCTGCATTGGCCTTAATGATTTTGGTTCAAATCAACTAACATGATTCAGCTCTATGTTATATTCCAAATAATTAAAACCCGTTTTCAACATCCAATATTCCCATTTGAGTTTTCAGCAGCAGCAGCAGCAGCAGCAGCAACAAAAATCATTTTTATAACTATGGGCTTTATTTCTAAATTGTTTTTGTTTTACTGGCCCCCAACTATTTATCTTACAGCACATGGCATTCATCTGTCACTGGGTAATCTTCCCTTGATTTCTTGCAACTTCCCATCACTGTGCATTTAAAATCACAGCTGCACTGCCATTCTGCTGCCTAGTTGTGACTTTTGGATTGCATATGCCAAGCTAAATAGCACTCTTCTTCCTTTCCAGAAAGTTTCACCAATTATTTAGCATATTTTTGTATTTGTTCAGTCTGTCTGTGGCCTCCCTGTCAAATTCATTTACCTTTATTATTCAAAAGTAAGTCTCTGCCAAGAGGAAAAAAGGAAGTGATTTTAAATGATAGATATAAAACTTGCCAATCTAAATGTTATTTTTCCTTACTGATGATCTCAGAGCACAATTAGGTGTATATCTCCAGTTTCCAACAACAAAGTAGTCAACTGACACACTACTGACAGAAAAACATCATTTTTTTTATTGAGGGAGGGGGAAAAGGGACAGAAGGGAGGTAAAAAAAATTGAAATAATTAATCATTGCAAATTAGCTATGAGGAAAATTTTATTTGTTTGTTTGTTTGTTTGTTCATTCATTCATTCAATTTACATACTGCCCATCTCAGACTAGTGACTCTGGGTGGCTAACAACAATAAAAACAGTCAACACTTAAAACAGTATAAAAAATTAAATATAAATATAAATACAGCCAAGAGATATTAAAAAACTGTCAGAATCAGCACAACCATGAAACGGGGCCCTTCACACGCTCGGGGGCCCCAGGCCCGGGCATAAAGCCAGGCCTTCAAGGCCTTCCAAAAAGCCAAAAGGATCGGGGCCATCCTAATCTCAGGAGGGAGGATGTTCCAGAGGGCAGGTGCCACAGCAGAAAAAGCACATTTTCTGGTCCCTGCCAGCTGCCATTCCTTGGCTGACAGGACTCGGAGCATGCCCACCCTACCGGACTGGATTGGATGGGTAGAAACAACTGGGAAAAGACTAAGGTAACCCAGTCCCAAGCCATGAAGGGCTTTAAAGGTGACAATCAGCACCTTGAATTGCACCCAGAAACACACCAGCAACCAGTGCAGCTCCTGAAGCAGTGGTATTACATGTGCCGAGTAGCCATCACTATTTACAAGCTGGGCAGCTGCATTCTGTACCAGCTGAAGCTTCTGAATGCTCTTCAATGGCAGCCCCATGTAGAGCACGTTGCAATAGTCCAAATGGGAGGTCTTGTGGGCATGAGTGACAGTGAGTAGAGCCTCCCGGTCCAGGAATGGGTGCAACTGACGCACAACCCGAAGGTGTGCAAAGGCTCTCTTAGCCACGGCTGCCACCTGCTCTTCCAGCAGGAGCCATGAGTCCAAGAGGACCCCCAGATTGCGCCAGATATAAGTTACTAGTATTTTCTTGTTAAATTTTAAAAATATAGTTTGTACTAATAAATTAAATGCCATCAGCTATGGGAGCTCAAAATGGTCAGTTTGTGCCAGTCGCTTTCAGCCTAATCCACTTGATAGGGTTACTGCTGTAGGAAAAAATTGGAGAAGGGATATATGCTAACTTGAGCTCTGAAAGAAAAGGTATGATACACATTTAACAAATAAAATAACATATCATTATAAAATAAAC